ACCCTCTATGAGGTGGATTGATTCAGTGATTAATCGGGATGGGTGTGTCAGAGGCAGTGCGATTGGCACAGGATAGAGCAGGGTTTAGGGCTGTTGTACATAGGGTCGCTATGAGTTGCAAGCAACTCAACGGCACATAACAACAACAACAGTGTCAGGATGATACAAGAAATGTTCTTGGTAATCAGCCGAAAAGGGACGGATATTGGTTCTTTCTCTGAGTGTTTCTCAAATACTTTGTGACTGTCTTTACTACCTAATTTTTGTATTAACTCTTTGCTAGGTTGTACCAAGGCGTCAAGGCCTAGGAACAGAGTTTTACCTGAGTTATTTTTTTTTGCTCAGTATTATGTTTAGAAATAATGAATATTTAAAATGTATTTATAAATTCAGTTCGAGATTCCAGATGCAACTTATATATTCACACTGCCCTTGTGGTGGGCAGTAAGAATAGCGACACTTAATCTACAAGATGTTGGTAGTCATCCCTCTGGAGGAAAGCTGGGGAGGTCCTCATTAGGGCCAGAAAAGGGAAAGATCTAGTTTTCAGAATAGACTATGAATTAGGTAGTACTTGTACATGTACAACCTTGAGGATCAGAGTTTTCCTTGGTATTAATCTTCAGAGACACTTTTCTGTCTTACTTTGGCTGCTTAGGAAAAAATACAACAGGATATTGACATGTGGTTGTGAATACTTACAGAACATTGCACATTCACCATGGATTTTCTGTTCACAGTCGGCTTAACTGATTGGCTTTTTGTTGGTTTATTTAACAGATTTCCTAGATGGTAGATTGGGAAATATAAACAATGTATCTTGATTTTAGAGAAATATTCTAAGAAGTTAATGAATTATTCTGGTGTCATTAAATATTTCTTTATTTCTCCTACTTTGTTTCATATATACCAGGAGTGAGAAGATAGTTATTTTCTAGGGTGCTTGCTTTGTTCTACTGGGAAGGATCTCTGGGACTGTATCTGGTCTTATATTGTCTAAAGAGGAGAAAATGGGACATAGGGGCACAGGACCCTTAACGTCTCTCTGAAAGGGCCAGAGGGAGTGAGAATAGCATAGCCCCCGACTGCTCTAGAACAGAAAGCAGATAAAAAGCCTGTAACCCAGCCCCATGTTGCTTCTAGAGCCACAGCCAACAGCAAGAGATTTATTTATTTGTTGCTGACTCACAGTTATGGTACCAACAATGAGGTTTATTAAGGAAAGAAGTTGAGAGTTGGGGAGGCAAAGAATAACACCCAAAACAAAGGTTTTAGCCCAAGTTCCAAGACACAATTCCTCAATAGGTCCAGGCTCTGGTTTCAGTTTAGCAGTCAAATCCAATTCATCCAGCAAAGTTTGCCTCCAAGCAAATAAGCATCCAGCAAGTTGTAAGTCAGTTTCTCCTTTAAGCATCAGGTAGTAACGGCACACACCTTTAACTGTGGCCTTTATCTCAGGGCTCCTCTTGTATACCTTGCCAGGGTTTCTCCACAGGAAAGCTAGTCTCTCCAACACCATCACTAGGGTCTTGCCAAAAGGATCTTGCTCCAATCTCAAGTCTTGCTTACCTCGTCTTGCTGTTCTGGGTGTGTAAATGCACTTGTTCTCTTATCCTAGTCCCACACCTGTTGATGAGTTGTAAACCATGCTGATTTGCAAGACCATGTGTTTCCCGTTAAGGTAGTTGGAGACCAGAGGGGTCTAACTGTAATGGCTAACAAAAGCCACCTTTTAGGCTAACACCGTGCATGTGAAAAGTGCTATGGCTGATATTAGTCATAAGCCTGGTATTTATTTTTTCTTAGAGTCTCTTTTTAGACATTTTGCCCTCTTCTAATCTTTCTGTTGAATCTTAAACGAATTTAATTTTAAACTAGTTAAAATAGTTCATGTTAAAATTTGCTTAGGTCCTGAAATGTAGAAGCTAAAGTTTTGAAGAGTTAAGGTACTGAAAAGTTCATTGTATTTACTTAGAGAAACAACCAATTAATTCCAGTTTCTTTGAGTTTGGTGATGGAGGTGACAAAATGTAAGAAAAGGATGTAGTTTCTAAAAAGCATTGACATGTATAACAAAAATCCATGCCTTTTCTTAAAAACATACAAAAGAAGAGTCCATATCAGATTTTATTTTCAATTTATATCAGGTCTCAGTTTAAGTAGCAAACATTTTAGAAAAAAAAAAATTGACTGAGAGAGAGTTACTGAATAAAACTGAAGCAATATTAAGACTGTAGAAAGAAGGGAAACCTATTCCTCCCTCTCTTACAAATTTTTTAAAATTTTATTTTATTAATTTTAATGAACATTTATAGAGGTTTTGGATATCTATTCATTCCTTGCTGCACTTTTCTCCCTGCCCAGCCCTCCCCCCTGACTTCGCATCTCTCTTTGAAAAGTAAAAGAAAAATTCTTTCTTTGGTATGCAATCTCCCCACACCCCTCCCACCACCCCAGTACATTCCACTATGCAGCCTTAATTCTGGACTCTTGTGATAACCATAATACCCTACTCTTACAAATCTTGATGTATACATTTCTGTATTTACAACATTTAGGGTTATAGGTTTTCTGATGTAGTATAGTTTATATTTATTGTTTTATCCTCTTTTAATTAGAATGTCTACACCCAAGAAATTTAAGATTTGTTTATAGTCCACGTCATTATATCAGAGACATTTTTCATTTGTCAGTAGTTTTACCTGATAAAAAAGTATCCTTGTTCTCATTTTTGTTGTTACTTGTTGTTGAGTCTCGTGGGACTCATAGCAACCCTATGTACAACAGCCCTAAACCCTGCTCTATGCTGTGCCAATCGCACTGCCTCTGACACACCCATCCCGATTACCCCAGTCACTGAATCAATCCACCTCATTAGAGGGTCTTCCCCTTCTGCACTGTCCCTCCACCCTCCCAAGCATGATGTCCCTCTCCAAGGACTGGTCCCTCCTTGCAACATGTCCAAAGTATGTCAGATAAAGCTTCAGAATCCTTGCCTACAAGGAGCAGCCTGGTTTCAGGAAAACCAGTTTGTTCTCTTAGCAGTTTATGGTATATTCAGTACTCTTCTCCAGCACCACAGCTCAAAGGCATCAATTCTCCTTCTGTTATCCCTGGTCATTGTCTAGCCCTCTGATGCATAGCAAGTGATTAGATTTCAATAATTATAGGCTTCTGACATTTAGAAAGTTTAAATTACTGCTTTCAATTATATAATACATGTCTCTTTTAATTGAACACAAGAAAGTTATATTTTATGAGAAAAAGAATTGGGGTTTTTTTCCACTCAGTGTTAAAGAGCTATCATCTTTTTTAATTTAAATGAAATCTGTAATCTATTTTTAATGTGCTAATATATTTTTTATTTTATTTTATTAGATTGTTAGGAAAAAGGTATTGCCTGATAGCAGTGAAGACAGAGATACAAAAGAAGCCCTAAAGGAATTTGACTTCCTGGTTACATCAGATGAAGGAGATAATGAATCTAGAAGTGCTGGTGACGGGACAGATTGGGGTAAGAGAACACAGTGTTTTCAGGCAGACCTGTTAGGTTAATAAAAACACTATTATTTAACAATACAGCAACTTTTTAAAAGAACTTGTTAAACCTACTATAATGTTGAACATTCTGTGTACTTCTTAATGTTGTCACCTTCTGGTATCTAGTGTGTATGTCTTCAAAGACTGTTGTATTACTTTATTTTTTATAAAAGTAGTCTAGGCAATATACTCTGAAAATAATTTTACTTCATATATAGATTATTCTTTGTTTGCTTCCTAGAGTTGAATTTGACTTTGAGTAGTTAGATTTCATGGACATTGAGTGCAAAAGTGGATTTAGAGAGCTCTTCTCTGAGACCTTATCTGAAAAAAAAGAAATACTGTCCAAAAAGTTGGAAATGAATAGTTATTCATCCAAGCATATAATTATTTTGTTTTATGCTAAATTAATGAAATATCTTAAACATAACACAAGAGTTAAAACTTGGAGTAGGCCACTCTGGTATTTGGAAATACATTGTAGCAAGAAAAAAGAATTTTGATAAATCACATCTAAAATAATTGATTACATTGTATATGCATGTGAGACACAGACATACACACACAGAGAATAATAATTTGATTTATACTTCTGTATGTTTTAAGAAGCGATAAGATTAAAGAATCAGTAACTAAATTTATTCTTCTTTGAAGTCATCTTCAAGAGCCATCTTAAAGTATGCCAGCCTTAAAACTCAATACCGTATTCATTTAAGAAAATGGATAAAGCTATTTTTTTTACCAACCATATTATTTTTTTTAAATTTATTTAAAAAACATTTACTTGTGTTTAGTGACTAGCAAAGGCATTTGAATGTATGGATCATAATCAATTATGAATAACTTTGCCAAGCAATCATACTTTTTTTTTTTTGTTCTACTTCACAACCCACTTCCACTGATGAACAGATATAACTTTTTACTTTCATGTTTCTTTCACTCGCAAACTGAGGAGTATTTCGTTACTGTTTTTGAAGCTGGAAATGTACCACGCTCTGTTTATTTCATATTAAACAAAATTGCCCAGTTTCTTCATGCAGAGTTTGAAAGTTAGCTCTTCCATAAGAGTTTTAAATATATTGGGAGAAAATAAGAATGGCAGGATCTTTGTTTTAGTTTAGTTTTATATCAATTTTGCTTTCTCTCAGTAAACATTTGCTTGCTGTCGTTACGTGCCATTGAGTTGACCATGACCCACAGTGATCCTAGTTACTGCTAAATTCACTGCTGGTCTCATGCTTTTTACTTGACAAATCTAAAATCAGATTACAGTATGATATGTTTGGAAATGGCTAAGGAATGATCTCTTGTGAGATAAGAGATGTTGATCTTTTTCAAGTGCAGAACAGGTTTTTGCACTTGAGGTACATGATTTCTGCAGTATCTGCACATCTAGGGGTAAATATGAGTAACTTTATACACTTTCACAGGTTTACTACATAGTACTTGGCAATAGGAATTATTAATCTTTTGAAAAACAAAAAGATTTGTTACATATTTTTTGCAACTGAGAGGTTGCAATTAGTCCTTTTATAAAGGACTATATAAGGTTGCATATGAGAGTTTGGTAACGAAATTTACAATTACAGATTGTTCTTTAGGACAGAAATGAGATACAAACATGTTGAAGGTAACATTATTTTCATTACTCTGCTTTTGAAATATTTTACTTCTAAGCAACTAACTGTACAAAAGTGCATGTGTTATCTTTTGTTTTACATCTATAAAATATAGTTTGTAATTTCCTTACAGCTCACAGTGAAATTTTTTTAAAATTTTATACTGGCTTACTTTCAAAGTTCGTATACATTGTTTTTCTCATAATGAAATTTTAGAACATAATGATTTGGTAATTAGCAAACTATAATTACTTTGATACAAATTCATATTGTATAGGACTATATTTAATTATACTAAAGCATTAATGAGAAGATAATGTCAAATTTTAAGTTTTCCCATTTTCTGTTTTATTGAATATATATTTCTGTTATATTAAATTAGATATTAATCCTTTTGTTAATCTTTGAGATTTTAACTCAAATATGTGAAATTAAACTACATAAGTATCTTGTTTTAGAAGTTGCTATTAGAAAAGGGAATTAGCTGTTGGAATTATTTTTTGTTATTAATTTTCGTTTACTTTTATTTAGGCAACTACTATAAATACAGATTGCATTACACAGTTAAGAACTAAAGATGATACTGAATGATAAATAAGTTAAAATGTAAACCTCAATTTCTTTTATTATGATAATGATGATGATGATGATGTAAGTGTACCGTCAAATCAGATCTGACTGGTACAGGAGGAGATTGCCCCTCCTTCCCTGGCAGAGCATCTGGTGGATTCAAACCGTGCGCCTCTGGGATTGTAGTTGCAGCTCCTTGCCACTAGGCCACCAGTAAACCTCAATTTCTAAAAAAAATTTGATGTTAAGTGAGTTGGTTGTATAGATGAAAACCAAATATTGATAAAAATGTCTTGATTAACAGTAAACATATATATATAGTTATTTTGGTTATGGTGCAGTGGTTAAACATTGGGCTGCTCCCCGAACATTGTGGTTTGAACCCAATAGCTACTCCAGGGGAGAAAGGAGTGACAGTATTCTGTGAAGATCTGAAGCCTTGGAAACCCCACGAGACAGTTCAGCCATCCTATAGGGTCACTGTAAGTCACAGTTGACTTTATGACTGTGAGTCTGGGTTTTGTGATTTCTTTTTTAAAATACATAACTATTAATATTTAAGGGGGCTTAGGTGGCTTAGTTTTAAAGAATTACGCAGACGACCTATAGGTACATGGTTCAAATCCATCGGCTACTCTGTAAGAGAATGATGGGACGTCTCTTCACATGAAATTTACTGCCTCTAAAAATCCATCAGAGGGTTAGCTATGAGTTAGTTCCAACTCTATAGTACTCAGCAGCAGCAGCAACATTAATATATGTTATGTTTTGTGCATTTATATATAAATGTTTCATAAATCATCACATTATATTAGAGTAGCTTGGAAGGAGGAGTGGCATCCACTTCCGTAATAGCTTGCCTCCGGAAACCCTATGAACCTGGAGAAAGGATGAAAGACACCCAAGCATTGAGGACTCTCCTTCATAGGGTCGCTGTGAGTTGCCTGTGACTTGACAGCACTTAACAACAACAACAACAACAACAACAACAACAACAACATATTAGAGTATATTTGGGATGAGGCTTAAGATTTGCATTCATTGCTTTTTTACCCTTCAAACTAAAGAAGATTTTTGATAGTTTGATTAAATAGACTTCAATTGATCTAATGTTTGGACTAATATTTATTTATTGAAAAAGTTTAATATTGCTAATTTTGATATTGTTTTAAATTTTAAAAACCAGAGGCTTTAAGATAGATTTCTACCTCAGATATAAAATTTTTTATAGAGTTATTTATTATTACAAAGAAACACTACTTTCATTCTCATCTTGTAAGGCTGGAACACACATTTCTATCAACTTCTAGTGTGTTTTATAGCCTAAATGAATTCTTTCAGTATCTTTAGTTATAAACATTATAAATATTCACTTAAACTAAGGCTTTTTATATATTGCTTCTTTGGAAGAAATACAACAATTAGGAATTCCAAAACCAAAATGGAAAACAAGATATTTTCCTTTTTATTCTTACTCATGGGTTTTAAGATGTCGATTTTTTTCTTTAAACTTATTCTTTTATAATAACTGACTTGCTTAGCTAAGTGAGAAGAAAAGGTTACCTCATAGTATTAACAAAATAAGGTTTTCATTCCTCGTTTGAAGACACTACACAGTAAGAATGCTGTGTCACCTCAAGGAAGTGTCCTATCTCTGTAAACAACGAGCAGCTCCAGTAACAAAAAGTCTCATTACATTTATGGTGCTGACCTTTCTGTTTGGCATTCAAGATCAATTGAAGTTCTCCTTACCTATCAGAAACTATTTATCATTTGGGGAGCATTTGTTAATATCCTCAAATGATTTTCCCCATTACAGTTGTAAGTTGCTTGACACCTCCTTTTCATTTATTGGAATTTCTTATGTAAAGGAGATGCTGCTCATACTTAGGAGCCCAGTGACATCTTACTGCCCTTTGGACTTGGTTGACAAATACTTTTGTAGAATCATCATTAGCAACCCTGGAATGCTTAAGGAATTCATTGAAGCTGCTGTAGCTGTAGCTGTATCTGAGTTATCATGGGAAGATGTAGTAAGAATTAGCTAGATCCTAGAGTTCCGTTATAGAACCCCGGTAGCACAGAGGTTAAAATGCTATGCTGCTAACCATAGGTAGACCATTTGAACTCACTAGCCATTCCAAGAGAGAACTGGCTACCTGGTTGTGTAAAGATGATAGCCTTGGAAACTGTATGGATCTCTGTGGTAACTGTTAAGTCAGAATTGACTTGATGGTACTTGACTTAATTTTCTTTGGCTTTGATAGCACTATTGGTGAAATGAAGAGCCATTGGAAAAGAGTTTTGAGCAGAAGAATAATATGATCTGTCTACAAGTACACAATATAAAACAACCATTAGAATAGACTTGCTGGTCTTGAGGGTGTGGAAATGTGGGCCATTATCATAGTAATCCTGACAGTGGATCAGTAGTGACTGTCCTGAGAAGTAGATTCTAGAGGTCTTTGAAGATTGTTGTTGCTGTGTACCATTGAGTTGGGACCAACTCATAGTTAACTCTCCAGCAGGTTTTTAAAGACAGTAAATCATAGCAGAGATTGCTCTTCTTTCCTTGTGCCCTTGGGTTGGCAGTGTAACTCCTCGTCACTATATTTCCTAAAATATTTGATGTGGAATGTGAAAGAAAGATTTTTAGTTTGAGCAACTGGAATATAAAATTTTCATCAGTTGAAATGGTGAGCCTTATGGTGGAACACTTTGGGTAGGGAGGGAGATGAGTTTGATATGTTTGATTTGAGATATCTGTTAGCCTTCTTAATGGAGACTTAGAGAGTGAGCAGTTGGATATGTGTTAGATTAAAGCCAGAATTTCAAGCTCATACTTATGTAGCATTATATATAGTTAGTATAAAATAGAGCATATATTTACTCGCTAAACTTTGCTTTCTTGAAGTAGAGAAAATTGGTTATCACAATTTTTTCTACTAAAATTGTTTCCTTCTGTAAATCTCTTTAAGAATTTATAAACTAACAGCAATGAAGTGGTGTTAACTTTTAATAAATGTTGAATAGTAAGTTTAAAAAAATACCTTTTGCATTTTGTTTTGTTGAGTTCCATTGAATCAGAACTGAATTAATAGCTGATCCTCTAGTGGTTTTCCAGAGGCAGTAAATCGCATGGGAGGAGATGGCCATCTCTTTCCTGCTGAGCAACTGGTGGATTCAAATGGAATGCCTTTAAATTGTCAGCCTAACTCCTTACCACATAGCCACCAGAGCGCCCTTCTGTCCTTTAGAGCTTATAGAAGAAAAATCTTCACTTACTGATTAACATAAGGATAAGATTGTCAACTAAAAAGCTCATTAAAGACTACAATTTCTTGATGATAATTTCTCATTATAGAGAAGAATAAGAAATGTTCTTGATGAGTTGCTCAATTCTATTCCTAATTAAGAGAATGAAATATTTTTTATTATACTCTTTAGAGCTTAATTTACTAAAAATCATTCAAATCTTGCAGGCATTTTTCCTAAGTTGTTTTTAAGAGAATCTAATATTACCTAGGACATTGAACTGTATATTAAAGTGCATAACCAGACTGTCTCACATAGTTTGGGTGTGTTTTTTGGAAGGAAAAACCACTGAGAAGGACACCTTGTTTAATCACCAGTAAAGAATAAAACACTCAAGGGAATTGCCTCTTATATTTTGTGTGACTTATAGCTAAAATGAATAATCAAGAACTATTTTTTTAATTAGTAACTCTGTGAAGAAAATAATAATAATTCAGACAGATTGATGTGAAATGTTCATATTTTATTGAAAAAGGCTTGTTTCATTTGTTTCACTTTATTTAGAAAAGGAAGACCAGTGTCTCATGCCTGAAGCCTGGAATGTGGACCAGGGAGTAATTACCAAACTCAAGGAACAATACAAAAAGGAGAGAAAGGGGAAAAAGGGGGTGAAGAGTAAGTGGAAAACATTGTATCTGTAAATCATAAATCTTACTTCTTTCACATCTTCAAATTTTTTTCAATGTTTTCCTAAAACTACTTACTCTTTTTCTTTTCTGCTCCTGACCTCTTTTCATTTGCTTTCAGGGGTTGAAATTAAATGGCTGTTTGCTTATGAACTAACTTTAAAACGAAACAAAACCCATTTATGATTATGGAGTCATAATATATCCCAGTATTAAATGCAGTGCCTCGTTTTAGTTTTGGAATATGTCAAATGTAGTAATGGACATATTCAAATGTAGTAATAATTATATTTTTTAAAATAATTTTTCACTATTAACTGTGTGTAAATCTCATCAAGTTGAGGCATTCTGGATATATACCCAAATTATTGCTCTATAATTTTAGGACTTGGAGGCAGAAAGTAAGTTAATTTCTACCCCTGAATATTCTTTGTATTCATAGCACGCAGTTCATTTGCTATAACTACTATATGCTATACAGGGCACAGAATCAAATGCATAACATTTAAATTATTTTCTAATTTAAAATTGTTGGCCAGTTTATAACAACCTTGCTAACTAGTTTTTTTTTTCCATTCAGATGTATGCCACAACAAAAATAAACCAAAGTTAATTTTCTAGCCCTGTGAATCATATATGTATCACTTTCATTATGTAATTTTGAAATAAAGTTTGGCAGTAGAGCCACTGAAGTGTGTAAAGTGAAATGCAAAAGTTTCCCTACACCCCTGGAAAGTTTTCTAAACATCTTTTTAGGGAGAGCAAAGCTAAATTACCTGCTTTTACTGACATTCTCATTGAAAATAGGAACATAGCCTCTCCCCCACCCCCGAAGGCAATAATGAATTTCATCTTTGTGATATTAAGGTACTATAAGTTCAGATTAGCATCTAATTTACTGAGAAATGTATTTTAAAGATGAAGAGTGCTGCAAGAGTATGCTTTCTGAAATTCTGTAGTGATGGTAATGCTCATCAAAGGTAGTTTTATGTTAGGACTTTTTTTTACAATATGCAATTGAAACATTTAAATTTTTATTCTTAAAATTAGTAGATGTTTAGTTTGAATTGAAAAACATCCAGTGACCATTATTTATATGTGCATAGTATCGACCATTAGCATACTATGAAATATCTTTTATTACTTTCTCAGTGTAAATTAAATCATGAGAAAGATTTAATATGAGAATGTTTTGTATCTTTTACCCACATATATTTATAAATAATTGGATCTTAATAAATATAATAAGCAGTGTTTTGTCATGACTTTTCAGAACCATGATAAAAATCAATTAATTTAGAATTTTAAGGAAAATATGTATACTCTACCTTATGTGACAAACAGGGAGAATGTCTTAACTTGTAGATTTGCTTAAATCCAAGTTGACATACATATATCTTTAGTTCATTATACTACTTTATAAAAGATCTTTATATTGGAAAGGTAGTCAGGAATTATATAGAGCTCATCTAGGCATCAAGGCATTGCTGTAGTTGGAATTTAGATGGTCTAAAACAGCACCATTTGACTGGAATAGTATCCCTACTAGTAGACTCAATTTTATTTCCTGTGTAGGGAATTTGATCAGTGTTGAAACATATAGCGTTTTGCATTTGCAGAAGAAAAAGAACACTCTCTGTGGGGAGATAGGTATCATCTTTTACTGATGACATAAAGGCTACAGACCGAGGTTAAGCATGTCTGTTATCATCTTCAGCTTATGTTATCTTGACAAAACACTAGTCTACAAATAAGGGAGGAAATTAAGAGATAACAAAACCAGAAAGAACCAGAGTGTTGATTTGACATATGAAGCATTAATTTGTAAATAGCCATTAAATATTTTTGAATTGAACTGTTAATCACAGGAAAAGCTAGAGAAAATGGTCTAATAGACATATTTCCAGTCAAATTGTGTACTTCAGTCATACTGTCTTTAAATGTAGTCCTAGATTTTAGTCACAATTGCTTTAAAATAGTTATATTCTTTGCTGGTTTAGGAAAAACAAACCATAATGGACTATGGGTAAGATTTTCCCATTCTTAATTAAACTTATAACAGGAAAAACTACCGAAGATCTGTTTCAGCCTCTATCCTATATAAAACAATCAAAACAGGGATATGGGAGAATGATGGATCAAAGCTCAGGTAAGTAATCAGTAGGGCATGAGACTTCATCTTGGGTACCATAGCCGCAGGATGTAAGGAAATGAATGCAACTTAAACAAAAAGGGATGTTATTTAATTCAAGGTAGCCTCACCATCTGTGCTGTTACAGCAGTATACAATGATTTGCTTATGGAATAACTTACTTTCAGGGCCTAAATTGGACATAAACATTCCTCCTCATGAAAAATGTTTTTGTTTTGCTTTGTTTCTAATTAAAAATCATATGTAAGTACTTTTAAAGAAATGTAAATTTTATTCTAACAATAGTACTTCTTATTAATACATTGCGATAGTGCCATTATTAAAGGTAAATGTTGGCAAATGTAAGTAAAGTTTTTGTAATTATTTTGAGGTAATTGGATAATTCTAATCCCTTTTTCCCCCCTTCTTCCCCTTTCTTTGGGCTAGGACCCAACAGGTCAAAACTGCAAGATATGCTTGCTAATTTGAGAGATGTAGATGAACTTCCCTCATTACAGCCTTCCGTCGGTTCACCTTCCAGACCCAGCAGTTCCAGGCTCCCTGAACATGAAATAAATAGGGCAGATGAAGGCAAGTATTTAACACAGTTTGTAGAACAAGCAACTGGATATACACATCTAAATTCAGTCACTAGAAAGACTTTCTTAAGACAAAAGAATTTCTTTCTGAAAATGTTTGATCTGTGTAGAATTTCTAGTTTGATTCCAGCTTCAGTATTTGACACTTGAAAAATGATCATGTTTAAAAATTAACTATAAATTCGTTAAGATTCTGTACCTTCTCAGAAGCCTACATCTCTGTCAGTTTGAATCCACCAATGGCTCCAAGGAAGAAAGATGGGTACTCTGAATTGGAACCATTTTAGAGCAGCGAGTTTGAAATTTTGAGTAAATAGGTAATGAATGCTTCCCGTGAACCTCATACATATTTTAAAATGTTATTTTTAGAAAATTAAGTAGTTTATCATTGATAAAAAGAAAAAAAACTTACCTAAAAATCATGTCATCTTTTCGGCTTTTATTTTTTTGTCTTGGTCCCATTTAGCTCATGTCAACATACATGTAACTGTTACATAGTTGTAGTCACCATGTAGATGAATTGGGTTGGTTTTTTTTTTTTTTTTAATTGACTTATCATAGAATACATATGGACTTCACCTGATGGTACACACAGGAATCACATTGACAACATTCATAGAAAGACATTGCTGGAGAAGCTTAATATCAGCTGTGAAAACTAGGCTAGGTGCTGACAGTGAAGCCGACCATCAGATGCAAGTTCATACTGAAGCTAAAGAAAATTAAATCCACAGGAACCAAAATTTGACTGTGAGTCTGTCCCACCTGAATTTAGAAATTGCCTCAGGAACAAGTTTGAGGCCTTGAAAATGAGTGAACAAAGTGTAGATGAGCTTTGGGAGGATATAAAAAATATCGTTCATCAAGAAAACAAAAGGTCATTGAAAACCAGAGGAGGAAGGAAACACTAAGGTAGATGTCAATAGAGACTCTGAATATTGCACTAAAGTGCTCAGAAACCAAAGCAAAGGGAAGAAACGAGAAAGTTAAGGAGTTAAAAAGAATTCAGAAGGCAGCTCAGGAAGACAAAGCAAAGTATCATAATGAAATATGCAGCGCTTTAGTCGGAAAACCAAAAGGGCCGAACTTGCTTGGTATTTCTTAAGCTGAAGGAACTGAAGAACAAGTTCAAGTCTGAAGTTGTAATACTTAAGGATACTATGGGCAGAATGTTGAATGATCCAAGAAGAATTAAAAAAAGATGGAAGGGAGTATAGAGTCACTATACCAAAAAGGAATTGTCTGGCATGGAAGAATTTCATGAAACAACATTATAAAGAGGCCATGGTGATGAAGGAGGACGTTCAGCCTGCTCTGGAGGAATTGGCAAAAAACAAGACTTAAGGAATTGATGGAATCAACCAATTGATATATTTCAACACACAGATTCTGCCCTGGATATGCTCACAACATTGAGGAAATCTGGAGGACAACTACCTGGCCAACTGACTGGAAGAGATCCACATTTGTTCCCATTCCAAAAAAGAGTGACCTGACAAAAATGTGGAAATTAGCAAACAATATCACATGTAAGCAAAGTCCTGCTGAAGATTATTTGAAAAAAAGAAAATAAACAAAAAAACCCCACCAAACTAAAGCCATAAAAACCAAAACCTGGTTGGAACAGCACATTGACAGAGAACTACCAGAAATACAGGCCAGGTAGCACCAGAGACATTTATTGCTAATGTCAGATGGATCTAGGCTGAAAGCAAAGGGTATCTACCAGAGGAATGTCTATCTGTGTTTCATTTACTATGCAAAGGCATTTAACTGTATGGATCACAACATATTGTGACTAACACTGAGAAAAATGAAAATCCTAGAGCACCTGGTTTTGCTCATGCAAAATTTATACTTGAACCAGGAAGCAGTCATCAGAACAGAGACTGAAACATTGCATGGTTCAAAATCAGGAAAGGAATGTGTCAGGGATATGTCCTGTCTCCATACCTTTTCAGGAACAGATCATTCAGGAGGCTGAACTTTATGATGAGGAATGTGGGATCAGAACTTGAGGAAGATGCACTAACAAACTACTTTACACAGATGAGACAACTTTGTTCACCAAAACTGTTCAGGACCTGAAGCATTTGGTGCGGAAGGTCAAAGACTGTAATCTTCAATATGGATTTTGAAGCTCAGCATCAAGAAGACAAAAGAGTCTCACCACTGGGACAATTGGCAGCACCATGATAGATGAAGATATTGAGGTCATTAACAATTTCAGCTTCCTTAGATCCACAGTCAACAATCTTGGCATCAGCAGGAAGGAAATCAAAAGACTAATTAATTACTTTGGGGAAAGCTGCTGTCAGGGACCTCTCCAGAAAGCTAAAGAGCAACATTGTTAGTCTGGAGACTAAAGTTCGCCTGATTCAGGTCATAGCCTTTGCAATTACTTGCTTTGCATTAGAGAGCAGGACAGTGTGTAGAGTTGACAGAAGAATTGATGCCTTTGAGTTGTGCTAGAGAAGAATGAGCTGCTGTACATAGGGTCACTATAGGTAGCAGGCGACTTGACGGCACATAACAACAACAACAAAGTGAATGGAAATAAATAATGATGAAGTAAAAAATCTGAACAGAAGATTTTTAAGCATGGCTTCAGAAGATAAAAATAATAAATGTGTAAGGAGCCAAAATGGAAAGAAAAGATTGGTTTTTCTCATGGTGAAAAAAATTTTTCCAAGCTGCAATATTGGTGAACTTTATGGACAAAGTAGTATATGAGAAGTTATCCCAAGAAGATGGTTGAAATATTTAGTCACTGTACCATAATTCAGCCATTTTGGGAAGATGCAGTGATAATAAAGATCCAATGATATTGAAGGAAGAATTGCAAATTATAGTTAAGGTTCTGAAAGATAACACTCCAGAAATCATTGGACTGGTTATTTAGATGTTTCAATAAATGGATGCAGTCCTAGTTGTTCTTACTCATCTATGCCAAGAAATTTGGCCAGCCAATCAGAAATGATTCATATTTGCATCCATTTCATAAAAAAGGTGATCCACAGAATGCAGGAATTAAAGAAGAATATAATTAATATCACAAAATTTTATTGAAGATAATGTAAAAAATAATTGCAGCAGTGCATTGACAGGAAACTGCCAGCAATGCAAGATGGATTCAGAATGGTTATGGAATGAAATAAATTGCTTATGGTAAGGTAATTTTGACTGAAAGCAAAAAATACTAGGAAAAGTGTTTACCTTGGTTTTATTGACTATGTGAGGCATTCAACTCTATGGCTCATAACAAATCAACTTTATGATTAGGGCCTCTTTTTATTTTTTTCTAGATTAAAAGAGTAAATACCCTTTTTAAAAAAAGTACAAATAGCTACTTTACATATAGACTTCACCTGGTGGACTGCACAAAAATCAGATTGAGTATATTTATAGAAGGAATCGTTCGAGTGGCTCATTATCAGCAGTCAAAACCAGGCCAGGTGCTGACTCTGGAACAGACCATAATTGCTCATGTGCAAGTTCAAAATTGAGGCTGAAGAAAATGAAAACAAGTCCTAAGGATCCGAAATACAATGACTTCATCTTAATTGGATCCACAGTCAACACATTTGGTACGAGCAGGCATCAGGAGACATAATATGTTGGGAAAGTCTGTAGTTAGGAATCTCTTCCCATTGCTAAGGAGCAGTGATGCCAGTTTGAAGGCCAAGGTGCATCTGATCTAGGCCATAGTCTTTTCACTCACTTGCTATGCATCTGAAAGCTGGCCAGTGAATAAGGATGACAGAAGAAGAATTGATGCTTTTTAGTTGTGCTGGAGAAGAGTTTTGAAAATCCCATGAACTGCCAAAAGAACAACAAGCACATGTTGAAGAAAGTGCAGCCAGAAAGCTTGTTGGAGGCAAAGATGACAAAGCTTCATCTCATATAGTTTGGGCATGTTACTAGGGGAGGCTCTTTATTGGAAAAGGACATCAAGCTTGGAAAGGTAGATGGTCAGAGAAAGAGAAAAAACCTTTAACAAGATGGACTGACACAGTGACTGCAGCAGTGAGTTCAAATATGTCAGAAATAATGAAGGTATAGGATATGACATAGTTCAATCTATTGTTTGTAGGATCCCTATTAGTTGATGGTACCTAAAAATAGTAACAGCCACACTCACTCATACTGCCTTCTAATCTCTTCAAATAATCCTGACTTCTTCCACCATATATTAATTTTATATCAAGTTATACACATTTTAGAATTTCTCTTTAAGAGTTTTATATTCCAAATTTTGCAGTGAACCAATTTTATTTTGAGTGGAACTAGCAATGTTCAGAAAGAATCACTTAAATATGTTTATTTAGTCATTGGTAGAAAGAATTTGGGCCGATTTAGCAAAATCTTGCCTTCTCCTGTGCCATACTCATAGAGTATCATCGTTGCCCATTGTTGCAGTGAGTGTCATTCCACCTCATTGAGGATCTTCTCTTTTTTTTGAGATTCTGACTTTACCAAGTATGATTTATTTGTCCCAGGACTGGACCCTCCTTTTTCTCTAATAAACATACGTGTGTGTGTGTGTGTAGATATATACACATACATATATATATATATAGTGGGGGGGGGAGAGAGAGATAATTTGGGCAATTAGTAACAAATACTATCATTTCCTGTAGTGATGTTATTTTTCTATTCAAAAGAAACGGGCTGTAGAAAGCTGGATTATGTTCCTTTTCTTTAGTTAGATGATATATTTAGGTTGTGGTTCAGATAAAGAAAAAGCAATCAAATCTTCAGGACTTTCTGCTTGTTGAATTTTATTGTGTTTAAAAACATTTAAGAATAACCATATGTATATGTATGCCCCCTTATAAGATTTTTTGGTGTAATTCAGTGAGATGAATTGTTGACTTTTTAGAGGTTTTTTTTGTCTTCCCCTTGCAGTGGAAGCATTAACATTTCCTCCTTCTTCTGGGAAGTCGTTCATCATGGGTGCAGATGAAGCCCTTGAGAGTGAACTAGGACTTGGAGAACTGGCTGGTCTTACTGTGGCCAATGAAGCAGATTCACTAACTTATGATGTGAGTGATCATTTTGTTGTTTTAATTATGGTTTTTAAATTACAAGTAGATTTTATAGAAAAAGTAATAAAATATTTTAATGAGTATAGAACTTCTCACTGTTTTAATTGTAAACTTTAAAAATATGATTGTATGATAAACGGTAACATTTTCCACCTGCCTTAGACATTAAAATGAGGTGTCCTAAGTTCATACATCTGTCAATAGAGTTTGTCCATTGGCTTTAAGATAAGGGAAAGGCATTACTTTTCTAGTAAATGTTTGGATATTACTTTATATTTCAGGGACCCATAGACTAGTTTGAATATACGTTTGCCCAACAGCAAGATTTAGCTTAGCTCTTTAGCACAAGCAAATCATCAATATTCTGCCAAGAAGTGATTTTAATTATTGTTAGGCATGGATATATAAAGGATGCTTTATAGATGTTAAAGCTGACCAAGTGATTATTTGGGCCAAAATTGAAGATCTTTACACTTTTGTATTTGCACTTAATTGCAAAACACAATTGTTTTATAAATGCATTTGTGCTTTTTAGAATCATGATACATGCTTTTCAGAACATCAGCTTCTTATCTCATGGTTAAAGTATTTACAAGCAGTTTTATCTTTTTTATTAAAACACTCTGATTTTAGCGCCTCATTTTCTATTAAAATTATAATGTTTCCTGGGGCAGGAAAACCATATGAGGATGTAAGATAGACACCTGAGCAAACGTGATCATGATAAGAAACCATTCTGAAGTAAAACCCTCACAACCTACTTCTCAGTTTTTTCTTACCTATAACTACAGGAATTACAGTAATTTTCTAATCATAACTCCTTCTACTCCATATTGCACATAAATGATCAGATTTTTATCATATCTATCACCTGTGCTTTTTGTTTCTATATTGTATGCATTTACAAATTTTTCTTTTTCTTTTTTTAATTTATACTGGTTTATTTACATTTGTTTATATTTATTTATACTAGATCTTTTCCATTTCCTTCACCCTCTGTATATCTTTTTTTATTTGTTTATTTAATTTTTAAAATTTTTTTTTTATTTTGTGTGTGTGTTCAGGAGGAGATTGTCCCTCCTTATGTGTCAGAGCATCTGGTGGATTCGAACCATGCACCTCTGGGCTTGCAATGCAGCTTCTTGCCAGTAGGCCACCAGAGCTCCCCCGTATATCTTTTTTTAAAAAAACACCAATTTTTTTTTGCTTTTAATTTTTCATCCAGTCTTTTACTAGCCTTTATCTTTTAATTGAAACATTTATACCATTTCTTTTTAAATGATTACTGATATATTTAGGTTTGTGTGCTGTTTTCCCTCTGGTTTTTGTCTTATTTTAGGAATTGATTCATTTTTATCACTGAAATGTCATTCTATGCTTTGGAGTTTGAGGTTGGGTTTTTTTTCTCCCCCTTTCTTCATTCTGGTGTTATCATGGACACTAGCATATGCATCCTTATCAAAATGCAATATACGAAGACCTTAGAATACTTTTTAACTGCTTTTCACTCCATTCCAACAAATGTATCATTTTGATTATGTATTTTTTGTGTTTTATTCTTGTATATATTTATCATCTACAAGATGTTTTTGTACAGTCTGAATTCAGTTTGGATTTTCTCTTTACATTTCTCCTTTTTATTTATCTAAGTCCTTTTACCCTAATAATGCTGTGTATTTTTCCTTAATGAAAATCTATTAGAATGCAGTTCTTTGTTTCTAGTTTTCTTAAATTATTTTTGTTTCACCTGAGTGGATTTATTATCATCTCTGGATATTGAACTAGTTAACTGTATTTTTAGCACTTTAAGTATTTAATTTCATTGTGTTTTTGTTTTTATTATTTTTTGCTGAGATTAACTACCAGTCGTTATTGATCATTTAATGCCAATATTATTCTTTTCTATGATTGGAAAAAATATTTTTATAATTTGCCGTGGTTTTCAGCCAAGGTGTGGTATACTTTCTATTTAACTTTGTTTTTATTTTTATTTCACCAGTTTGGGAAAATTCTAAGCCCCGTCTCTTCAGATATTACTTTTTTTTTTTTTCAGATATTACTTTTTTTATGTATCACACATTCTTCTGGGAATTCTAGTTACATGTTTTTCTATTCAACACACCTCTTTTTTATCTTACCTCTATGATTCCAGTTCTCTTTCTTCTGTATTTTCCATCTTTTTTGTCTTTCCATGTTTCAGTCAGTATTTTTTTTTCTTAATTGTAATTGTTGTTGTATACCATCAAATCAGAAGCAACTCATAGCTGAGCTTTTAGCAAATTTTCAGAGGTGGTAAATAGCTTGGGAGAACACTGTTGTCTCTCTCCTGCAAAGCAGCTGGTGGATTCAAACTGCATGCCTTCGGTTTAGCAGTGCACTTTACCACTAGGCCACCAGAGCGCCAGTGTAAATCGTTCAGTTATAGTCAGGGAGTTATTCTGCTTATTTTAATTTTCTTGTTTTCTCTCCTTTTCTACTATGTTATTTTTACTGTGGTCAAAACCTGTGGTTGGAAAATTGTCTACAAAAAATGAGGCTTAGGGTAATATTTTCCTCAATGCCATAAAGTCAGAATTAGCTTATAGCTGACCATCTAGAAGTGGGATTTTGGAGGTTATAAATTGCAAGGGAGGAGATAGCCCAACTTTCTCCCTCAGTGCCATTGTTGTGTGCTAGTGGGTTCCAGCTGCCAGCATTCTGCCACCTTTGGTTTAGAAGCACAACTTAACCATGAACTGTGACACCAGGAAGCATATTTTAAATTACCTCCCTGAGTGTCTTTGCCATTGTTGTTGTGTACCGTAGCGTCGGAACTGACTAATAGCTGACCCTCTGGTGGGTTTTCAGAGACAGTTAATTCCACAAGAGGAGATTGCCCATCCTTCTATATGGAGCAGCTGGTAGCATCGAACCATGTGCCTTCAGGATTGCAGCGCAGCTTCTTGTCACTAGGCCACCAGAACTCCATTCTCTTTGCCATTCTGTATAATCTCACTCTGGGATTTTTTTGGTCTCTTTGTTTTGAGATTGTCTAAAGTTGATCTATAGACCTTACTAGTACTTGTCTTCTTTCAGTTGATCCTTAAGTCTATGATACAGCCTTTTGGATTCATGTGTCTTGTCTGACCCTGAGCACTAATTTGTATCTTCTCTTCAGTTTAAGAATGTGAGTGTTGTGGGAACAGCCAAGTCTCACATCTATTAAAGGCATAGTCTCTATCTACAATATTAGTAGCACAAAATTGATTCCCATGAGGTCCCATATCTGCTTTTCTACCACTAACCATTCTTCCCAGGACTCTTGCTGCTCTACTAATGGGTTCATGAATTCATTACAGTAGCCATCCAGAATCCTTAGAACCATACTCATGGTTTTGGGGTTTATTAAGGTGGTTAACAGGTGACAGTTCAGATTGGAAACAAAACACAATTTTTTAGTCAAGACAGTTTCTCAAGCATGCTTACAGGCTCTGCCCTTTGGCATTTGTTCCAGATCTCTCACAGGGTCTTCGTCTACCTGTATTTTAGGGAGAAATCTGGCCATCGTAAACACTTGATACATTCCCTGGTGCCTTTTTCGTACTGGTAGCAAGATTTTTTCCTGTTCTTAGACTGCTCAGTTTAAGCCTGGCAAAATGGCAACACCAACCAGTCTCATCATTAATGAGAGTCTATACACTTTGTTTGCATATTTCCACCCAGAAGGTAGAAACTTTCCTGTCATTCACATCATTGACATAGTCACACCCAGCCAGGTGATGAAAGTCAAAGCTAATGGATGAGGAAACCATTTTGAAATATCTGCCTAAACTCATTCAGCAATGCCTTGTAAAGACTAAGTTTGGGTAGAATTCACTTCCCGACTCTTTCATCTTGTTTTGATTCCTTGCTGGCTGTGGGGCAGAGACTTTAGTCCTTCGGCAGGTAACATTTTTATGGGATTTATATGAGAGCTAGCTTCTCCCAGTATGATTGCACTCAGAAAGAGCAGTGAACAGTTTTATAAATTAATTTTAGAGATAGCTTACCATGATTTGGTTACACAAGCTGACAAGGTAGGGTTTGAATATAAGGAAATAGGACTCATTAGGGACCACCTTGGAAATTACCTATAATGTTAAGACATTTGGAGAATTGGGGGTTTTTTTACGTACTACTTAACAAGAGCAGGCATAATTCAGCTCAGGTTTTTTTCTTTTCCAAGGGATATCAACTCAATTTTTTCAGTAGTTCTTTTTTTTTTTTTTTTAAATCTATTTTATATTGGTTTGCTTACAAAGTTCATATACATTTTGTTTCACACTGTTCTTCGTTCACATTGTTTCATACAATTGTTCTCATGCATTATGTTTATAAAATTAATCACCGTCGAGGGAGCTCTGGTGGCCTAGTGGTAAGAAGCTGCACTGCAATCCTGAAGGTGTGTGGTTCAAATCCACCAGATGTTCCTCTGGAGAAGGAGAGATCTTCCCCTGTGCCAGCTGGATCCGATTCAGCAGTCCAGAAGAAGAAGAAGAAGAAGAAAATTAATCACTTTTAGACTTTTCCCATTATTACCCTGTCTTATCAGGTCCCCATGGGATCCTTCACATTTCCTTTACCCCTTTTCTCCACCCAAAAAATTGTGTAACCCTGTGATTTCGCCCATATAGAGTCTTACTATTTTCTTACTATTTTAGTTGCAACATGTCCTATACAAGTTTTTTACAGTGTTTTAAAGTTTTGCATTCAAAATTATAGTTACATTACTAATGTGGTCTCTAACGCTAGATTACTTCAGTTGTAATTCCAGCTTCTCCATGTATGTACAGAGTTCATTGTCAAGGCATTTCTCTTTCCTTTAGGCATTTAGTCTACAAAATGGAGATACTCTTAGAGTATCACTTACAGAATTGTTGTGAGGATTAAATGAGCTAATAATGCATGTAAATCTTTGAATGAATTCCAAAATAATGAATACACTTCAAAATACCAGATAATAGAACTAGCTTTTTTGTTATTATAAATACAGTTATATTTCTGCAGAATATTATTAGAATATGTCATTCTTGCTTAAAACCTAGCATAATTATTAGCTTTGGGATGTGTGAGGGGTTCACATAGGGAGTTCACATATATTCAAACACCATTTTTTCTCTTTAGGCTTCTTATTAGTTGGTATAGAAAACTAGTACACTTTTTATTTGTTGAGAAAGTATGATCATATTCTAAAATGTTTACAGATCTAAAGATAACTTATTTTTTCAGTGATTACAGAGTGTCTGTCGTACAATTTTGGTTGAAATCATTACTTCTATTAGTTGTTTTCTTGTCATATCTTTAACCAGCTGAGCTAACCAGCCTGTTTTCTTTTCATATCTTTAATATTCAGAAGAAATTGCTCTTGATATTTGCCTATTGTTTTGGTTATTTAAATTTAAATGTATTCTTTTAAAATTAAACTTCTTTTAAAAGGTGCATAGTATGATGATGGCAGATCAGCAAGAGTTAATATTGAAATGACACTCTCTTCTTATTTTAAATTAAATGTAGACTATCTTTGCTTTGTGTATTTTTTAGATAGCAAACAATAAAGATGCATTGAGAAGGACGTGGAATCCCAAGTTTACGTTAAGAAGTCACTTTGATGGCATTCGAGCCCTCGCTTTCCATCCCATCGAACCTGTTTTGATAACAGCATCAGAAGATCACACATTGAAAATGTGGAATTTACAGAAAACTGCCCCTGCCAAAAAGTAAGAATGTCCTACTTTATCTTTATTTGGATATCTTATTTTTAGCAGAAATATACTGAATACTTGCTATCTTCCCATTAAATTTTCCAAATATTTCTGATAGTTCTGTTTTTTTTAACTGTCACATTTTCAACTTCCCTTCCTTTCTTTAAACTTTTTCTTTGATTTGAATCAAACATCACAGAACTTGGTTTTCTAGTCAGTATTCATAAGCATATACTATTTTATGGCATTAATTTCAATCCCCACATTGTAAAACATTCTTCCACTTCTTTTTTGTGATTCTAGTGTCCAGTCATCCTTCTAGCATAGCCCTTCTTGCCTTCTGAGAAATTTCACTTTCATTTTTTCTTTTTTACACATGACTGTGACATTGTTTTCAATTGTTGTACTGTGTCACTACATTTTATTTCCATCTTGCTTCTTTTGTTCCATTAATCTAGCATTACTTTTTCTGCTTGCCTTTTCAACTTTGACTTTGTGTAAATGTTGACCCTTTAGTCTTGTATAGTTAGTTGTTTTTACGAACCTCATTCCTCATGAGTGATAAGTTATGAGGGGGGCCTAATCCTTGGAAAAGAAGAGGGCCAGTGAAAGAGAGGAAGACTTGAATAAGATGGATTGACACAGTGACTAGAATAGTGGGTGTAAGCAAGCAGAGATTATGAGGATGGTACAGGATCGGGCAAGATTTCAGTCTGTTGTGTGGTTGTTGTTAGAGGTGACACCATGGCACCTAAAAGCAACAACAGTCCAAGAGAGACTTCAGGGAGTTCTGGTGGTAGCTCTGGTGGCCTAGTGGCATGAAGTTGTGGAGCAGTTCTGCTCTGTCCTATCTGTAGGGTTATTATGAATCAGAATCAGCTTGAGGACACAGAGTTTGGTTGGTTTTTTGGTTGGTTTTTGGTCTCATTAGTCTCTGTCAGCCCAGTAAGTCTGGGGTTTGTTTTGTTTTTGGCATTTGAGTTTGTTTTACAATTTTCTCTCTGTTAGAGTGGTTTGTAGTGATAGTCGTCCTGCCTAGTTGTTCTGGTCTTTGACTGGATGAGGTTTGTGGTTCTTGTGAGCTCTTAGTCTTACAAACTACTTTCCTCTTTGAGCCTTTGCTTTCCTTCATTTTCTCTTGTTCCAAACAAGAAGTGACCAGTAGTTGTATTTTAGGTAACCCATGTACACTTTCTTTAGACTCTGGACACTTCTTACCAAACTAGGATGTAGAACATTATCTTTATAAACTATACCAATTGACTGAGTTGTCTTGTCAAACTATGTTGCTAAGCTCTTCACTCTAAAAACTAGTCCTCCGGTGTGTTTGGATATGCCTAGGAAATCGCTGTAACGGTACCTCACATATGTTTTGTATATGTATTCTGAATAATTAAGCATGTATATACTCATGCCTATAAATAGGCCCAGGTATGCATGCACGTGTACTTACACATCGATCTTCCTGTATACCTAGAGTATACGTACCTTCATATGTTACCTTACGCCTCTTTTACTGGTTGTTATACATTTACTGTGATTGTCCTTTATTCTTGCACTTAATCAAGTTGTACTGACTTCTCCATGTTGAATATTGCCTTTCCCTTCCCCAGAAATAATAGGTATTTTCTATTCACAAATGGTTCCTCCTTTCTCCTGCTCCTGTCACTGAGGAATTAGATATATGTGCCTAGTGATCTTAGGTATTTTACTTATTTAATCCTTGTGATGTATTCTCTGTAATCACTGCTTGTTTTTTTTTTAAATAAAATTTTTAAATATTGTCATTTTAACAAAAGTTTATAGAAAAGTTAGATTTTCATTCATTCATTGTTCCTTCTCTTACCCCTCCCCAAGTTGACTTTTTCTTTTCATTAGTTTATTTACAAAATTGTAATACAAATTCTTTGAATTTCCTT